CCATGCATAACTGAGATCCGGGTCCGGAATGGTGAAAATGTGCGATTTCAATGCATTTTCGGCCTTAAAGCGGCCGCCATTTGGCTATCGTTAATGAGATCATGAAACAAATGCACATACATATTTGTGACATGATGTACCTTGTGTGTGTGAAGTTTGAACTCGATCAATCCAAGCATGTCTCAGATACGGATCCAGAACTGAATTCTTTAAAAGAAAATGGCCGCCAGTCGGCCATTTCGAACCCGATCCAAAAAAAAAAATGACGTGCATCAAGGTCCTATTATGTTTAATGTATGTACCAAATTTGAACAAAATCCGTCCATGCATAACTGAGATCCGGGTCCGGAATGGTGAAAATGTGCGATTTTGATGCATTTTCGGCCTTAAAATGGCCGCTATTCGGCTATCGTTAATCGGATCATGAAAAAAATGCATGTGCATATGTCCCATATAATGTGTGATGTATGAGTGAAGTTTGAACTCAATCAGTCCATGCATGTTCGAGATACAGGTGATCATGGACGCACGGAAGCACGGACGAACGGACGCACACAGGGCAAAACATAAGTCCCCGTTTTCGGACTGCGTCCGAACGGGGACTAAAAATACACTAAAACCAACATGTGATTGTCAATGACATTGTCAATTGTAGTAATGTATATAATTATTATTATGAAAACAATACAGGAAAATGACTACAACGTTTATTTAGTGTACACCACTATGAATCAAATTCACAAGTTTGAGAATGAAGATATTACTGTAAAATACTAGCAAGAATTAATTTTTGCTGATTTTGTGGGTGATTTTTGATGAGTTGAATGTAAAATATATCACCCCTTCAGTGAAAATAAATAATTTTACAGAACTAACACCAATTTCTGCAGTTAGTAAACATATTTGCCTCACCATTCATGCCATAGGGTTGAAAAGCTCTCCTTTCTGTCAGGACTGACAGCGTCAGGGGACGTCGAAATAGCATTTCTCTTTGGACTCCATCACCCCCTCTGAATTGACCTTGACCTCCAGAACCAAGGTTAAGTTTAAAACACTGTAGCACAATTGGGTATCTATACAATAAAAACATAGAGAAGTTCAAGAATCTTGTATGTTCAGTTCAGTTCACACATTACCGACCACTCTCAAATTTTCTAAATATTGGAACAATGTGCTGTTTTTGAAGTTTTAATATGGTGGTTTTGTCAAATTTTTTATATTTGTTGAAGATGTAAAATGGACGAGAGCATGTTTAATTATGTGTATTGACAGATGTACATTGCACTATAATTTATCACAAACTGAAATCACTATTTTGTAAGCACACATCTGAGTGATGAAACAATGAAATTCTCTCCTGCGTATTGGTTGTTTTGGTACCTGCATAACAATCATTATTACATATGTAATTAGACAAGGGGATGGACTCAGCCCTCTCCTTTTCAATATCTATGTAAATGACATTAAAACATCATTAAACTTGGCTCGTAATGACCCACCAAGTCTCTTAAACACAAGTCTCCCTTGTCTGCTATATGCAGACGACCTTGTAGTATTATCCCAATCACATACTGGCTTACAAAATGCCATAAATTCTCTTGAAACTTATTGTCAGAAATGGAAACTCAATATTAATATCTCTAAGTCAAAAATCATCATGTTTAGTAGGTCAAAAAAATCACAGGACAAATTAAAATTCTATGTTGATGGAAAGGAACTTGAAAATACAAAAACCTACACATACCTCGGCATTAAACTACACAAATCAGGTAAATTCATCAGAGCACAAGAAGACCTCAGAGCTAGAGCAATGAAGGCATGTTTCAAAATGAAACAACTGCTATTCTCAGAAAAACTAATTCCAATCAAAACATACTTAAAAATGTTCGATGCAATTGTAAAACCAATTATGCTTAACTGCAGTGAAATTTGGACGAGCGAGAACATCAAAAAATCACACCAATGGAAAAAGTACAAATACATTTCTACAAATACCTTCTAAAAGTAAATAGCAAAGCAAGTAATTTGGCAAGCCTACTAGAGTTGGGAAGATATCCTCTCCTAGCAACAAGCTTAAAATATATGATCAAATATTGGATCAAAATAAATAATTCTAACCCAAATTCGCTAGTACATGAAGCTTACAATCTTGATAAAAAAGGAAAAGACAACTGGGTAACAGACATAAAACAAATTTTAGAAAATTTAAATATGGGAAATATTTGGGAAAACCATAAATCTCTTGATGACAAACAAATCACTGAAACAGTAACGTGCAAACTAGAACAATCCTTTGAAATACATAGCACAGAAACATTACACGATGACAATAAAGGTAAAAGCCACAAAAACAAGTTACGAGCCTATAGGAAAATTAACACAGAATTTGCATATGAAAAATATCTCACCACAATCAAAAATCCAAATCGTAGAGCAGCTATGACAAAACTCAGAATAAGTGCTCATACCCTTCAAATCGAAAGGGGCAGATATAATAAAATTTTAGCGGAGACCGAATTTGCCCAGTTTGTGACAAACAGGAAATTGAAAACGAAAAACATTTTC